TTTAGGGCAGCTAATGAGACAGATTTCAGGTCTAAAAGCTTCAGATGGGAGTATAAACGTCATAGCTGTGCAGATGTCCCATCTGAAAAAGAAGAAGGATGTGCCAGACCAGTGGCTGGTCAGAGGATCCCCGGGACTTGATTCAATGCATTCAAAGTGCCTTTTAAATAGTCTGTGACCTGGAGAGTCAGGACCTTCACGACTAGGTACTACAAACTGATCGACATCCTGCAGTCCTACTTTTACATCAAGATCTTCATCAAAGACCACCATGTTTCCTCTGATGCCTCCATCCTGAGCTTCAAATGGGAAGCGAGGCACTTCCTGAATGAGAGCCAGGACAACGACAAGCTGATTTAAGTCCACTGCACCTATGGCGTGAACCACATTGGGTACCTGGTCTGTAGGTACCTAATTGACGTGGATGGACTGGATCCACCAGCAGAGCTGGAGCTCTTTAACTCCTCCTGCAGAGGTCATTGCTTCATTGCTCCACCAAGAGGAGCAAATAAGGCATGGATGACCCTAAAGAGTTTAAAAGCAGAGGGCTCCAACAGGTGTCTGCTCACCTTTCAGTTATTTATGATGATGAGTGAATGAACAGCGTTCCAAGGGTCCTCCGAGGTTCTGCTGAAAATTTCCAGTCGCAAATCTTATCCAATTCTGTCTCTTTTCCCAGATATCACATCGGGGTCACAAAGATTTGTAGCACATTCTTTTTATCTAAGGTGAAAGAGGGTTTCACTCATTTATTGCCTCAAGCAACAAAATAATTCATGCTCTCGAGTTAGAAAACCACAGTCTGCAGTAGCTTGCTGTAACCAACTTTTGGAAGAGAGATGCCCCTAACTTAGAGGTACACATATTTATAAAAGAGATGTGCTTCTACCCGATTGGTCAAAAACCATTGAGAAGGGCCATGGTTTAGATTTTAGACCCCCTTATTGGCTCTCTTCTTCTCCTCCATCAAGTGCAGCTTCACCAAGGGATGGACCCCCCCCACACACACACACACACAGTCCTGCCTTCCCTAACCTGTTACACAGTTTCATGACCCTAAGCCAGCATCTATCTGTGAGAGCTTGTTTCTTGACCTTGCTCTAGTTCACTCCCGCTTTCCTGCACACAGCTTTTTCTTTTTTTTTTGTCAAAAATATAATCATGATTTTTTTTTTATTAAAGTTGATTCATCCTGATCACTTTCAGCTTTGTCTTTTAATTTTTGGACTCTAGAGGAGCTTTAAAAGGAAGACATCTGAAACAAGAATTTTCTTCTTTGCTGCCCCTCTCAAAGGCTTGTGTTTATTATCCATTTGACATCTTCTGATCCAAGAGTAGGAGAAACTGTGGTAAACTAAACTGTTCAGGGCAGACTGAAAATTTGGCTCACACACTGACCTCGTTATTGGGACTGTGCTCATGTTTGATATCAACATCCCTTATTTGCCCTCACCACCAGAGGTGGGTAATGGCAAATAAGGAGAACCAGAACTGGTCCACTTTAATACTTCTATCATCAAGGTCATGTGATGTGACCAAAAGCTCCAGAACAGCAGCAGTTTTTTGACTACTGAAAACAAACCCTTGCTGACTTTCTGACATCTACAGGAGAAACTAATGCACATTGATCAAAAGCAGCATGAATAAAATAGAGTTCAGCTTAACAAAATGGAAAACATCAGAAAAAATCCCTACCCCTTACTGGAGTTAAAGCCATCACAGCCATTTTTAATCTATCTGGTGAAAATAATGATATAGTATTCCTCCAACACTGTTTTTTCTAGTCACAGAATTTACGATTACCTTTGACAGTAAATGTTTTGTAACTGGTAGTCTGGGATTTTATTACTCTTCCTGTTAAAAGAAAAATCGTACTTTGAGAAAAGAGAAGGTGTGGAAACTATCAAAGTTCAAACCAGATCTGTCCCTTCCTTTATTACCTCCAAATGAAAGAGTTTAAATTTAAGCCAACAATATTTATCTGTTTTTTTGTTTATTTTTTGACGTTGAAGCTGAACACTAAAGTCTGCACTTTTAACGAAGGGCTTCTTTACATACTTCAGGGCTTGTTAGAGACTTAGAGCTTTTTATTGTCATTGTGCAGTTTCTTGCACAGCGAAATTGGGTAGCTGAACCACAAAGGTGCTAAAGTAAGAAGAAGAAGAGAAACCAATATACAACGAAGGTGGAAAATAAATAATTAAATAAATAGAATAAAATATAAAACAGTGTATATGTATGTATATGTGAGTGGAACCATATACATGGTGTATGTGTAGGAAACATTGAAATAGACTGGGACCAAAATAATTGCACATGAGCCAAAAATATTGCACAGAACATGGAAAGACTGAGATATTGCACATAGATGATCAACAGCAGTGTCAGGGTGGATGTGTTGGGGAAGTCTTTACACACTCTTAGTTTGCATTAAGAGTTCTGACAGCCCACGGGAAGAAGCTGTTCTTTAGTCTGTTGGTTTTGCACCTGATGGATCTGAGCCTTTTTCCAAAGGGCAGGATGTTGAAGGGGTGGTGGTTAGGATGGAGGTGGTCCTTTATAATTGCCCTGGCTCTGGAGAGACATCTTGAGCTGGCAATTAAGTCCAGGGAGGTGAGTGGACAGCCGATCACCTTCTCTGCAGTTCTGATGACCCTCTGTAGTCTCTTCTTGTCAGCTGTTGTGCAACCAGCGTACCACACAGGGATGGCGTGCACCAGCACACTCTCGATAGTGGCACGGTAGAAGGACACTAGTTCAGTCTGCAGCCTGTTCCATCCCAGAACCCTCAAGAAATGGAGGCGCTGCTGGGCTTTCTTTACGAGGGCTGATGTGTTTGTGGACCAGGATAGGTCCTCGGATATGTGGGTGCCGAGGAACTTAAAGGAGGACACCCTCTCCACATTGTTCAGGTGTTTGTTCTATGTTTGCAGAAATATCAAAGAGACCACCTATAACAACATTTTGGAAGGAAAGCACCATGTCGGGCTTTAGGCCTGGATCTTTGCAGGCTCTGGTTCTAACCAGATTTAAAGGAATTTGTTAGAATATGATGATATGGATGTTTGGGTTTTCATACTGAACAAATCAAGAGTGTTTGTAGAAACATTTTGATTGTTCAATTCTGGTTGTTGAATTAGAGGAAAAGGAAGGGTTTTCAATTTTTTTTTTCATAAGTACCAGCAGTCCATTTGGAATGAGCCCCAGTAATGTCATTCAGGTTCAATTTAGACACTTTTTGGTGGGTTTTTGTAATTTATCATTATTCTTTGCTGCTTGGATCATTTCATGTACACATTTGCCAAATAAGGCTTGTGTACTCCAAGACAATTAAATTCTTCCACAGAAAAAGGAAATATTTCTCCCTGCTGAGAATTGTCACAATAAAAGCATAGAACAGTCTTTAGTAATCTTGTTCAGACACACAGGAAACTGTAATTCAAACATTTTATTAAAACAGCTTAAAACCAGCAGCAGTTTCAGATCTGCTTCACCTATCGGATGGGTGTGGTTGTATGTGACATCACTTGGGGGTAGTCCTTTGGATTGCAGGACTCAGAGCTTTTAGAGTAGCTACAGGTCTCTGGAGTGCCTTAATGACCTGCAGACCCAGAGTCCTCATTGGATGCAGGGATGCAGTCCTAGCACGCCTGCTAGGACTGGGACCAGGACCAAGGTCTGCTGGGTCAGATACAGTGTGGGGGTCTCCTTTGTTCCGATGAAACAGGGACTCCCGTCGCCGTGTGCAGGGGCTCACAGCCAACACATTGCGGAAACCGTAGGGCGTGGTCACCTTCGGCACGTGACACAGCGACATAGCTGCACGCGTGGTCAGGTCCATGTCTACATCCGCAGATACTGCAGCAGCAGTGGCAGTGTGAGAGTGAATGACTGGTAGGGGTGTGTGGAATCTGGGAGAGGACGCAGGGCTAGGTGGGTTCTCAGGGGGGCTCTCACTATCACCATCATGATGAGAAAGTAGTCTGGTCCGCTCCGGGGACACCGGATAAGGCCGCGGAGTGCAGGGTAGGAGAAAGAAACTCGGGATCTTCTCCGGGGTTAGAACCAGAGTCTGCAAAGATCTAGGCTTAAAGGCCGACATGGTGCTTTCCTTCCAAAATGTTGTTATAGGTGGTCTCTTTGATATTTCTGCAAACATAGAACAAACACCTGAAAATGATTATGATTATCACATCTCCTTCCTGAGGCTGTGGGACAGGAAACGTTAGACTGGATGCATGCATACATTAAAGTTTCAGCTCTAATGTGCAGCCATCACCTTAGAAACAAATGGCAGCCCTGAGCATGCTTAGATAAAATCCTTCACAGCAATTCAGGTATTCCATTTTACCACTCTGGGGCATTTCCACTATTGGTGGCATTTTACAAAAAAATAAATAAATAAAAAATAAAATGACAGTCATTTCTGTAGTTTTATCATTCATCAGAATGAGTGCTTGTCAAATTACTAACATAAAAAATAATAATAAATTCTGGTCAAGCAGAGGACATTATGCTGTAGTAATTCTGTCCAGATTTTCCACGTGGGATGTGTGCCAAATATCATCTAAGCTTTTTGAATGTACACATTTGGAAAATATTTTTCCAAGAGCTAAACTGTATTTTAGGCAAGCGTCATCGTAAAAAGGAATGCTTTATTTTCAAGTACAATGTAATCTCTATTTTGCATAATAGTGGTGACATCACATATTAAATGACTGGCTTTTAACATTTCATGGTTTGGGAAAATAACCCTTTAATAATTTTCTCCCTTCAATCTCATCCCATCATCCATTCACACCATTTGAGAAAATTCTAATCCTGTAAGAGGTTTAAAACTATTAAATAAAATCACTATCAATTTTAGAAAAATGCATACTCAGAGCTGCAAACAATTTCTTGCAGAAATTTTTAAGTGTTCATTCGCATGGACGGTCTTTCTGACCTTACATGTTTGGTGTACAAAATATTGATTTATGCATGCAGTGGAAAAAAAAGATTCACGCTTCATGCGATTCACATGAAGACCAGAGAATAAATTTAACATGTTTATCAGCCATATGATCAATTTTATGATACAAAGCAGAAAAGTAGAGCCCAGCTTAACAGAGAGTTGATAACTGCTTTCACAATACTGTTATTTTCACCTGTGGTTTGGGTTTGTTTAAGCTGCCAGTGCAAAGCAAAGCTGGCTGTGTTAAACTTTGTAGTCACAACCTTCTGATGAACATGTTACTGGGAAAAATCTTAACTAATTCTTGGTCAGAACCATTTCATCTACAGCAGTTGTGTCCAACTCAAGTCCTTGAGAGCTACTGTTCTGCAGCTTTTAGATGCATCCCTACTCTAACACAGCTGAATCAAATGGTTGGATTGCATGTCATCAAGTTTGGCAAAGGCCTGGTACCATTCATTTGATTCAGGTGTGTCAGAACAAGGATGTGTCTAAAAGCTGCAGGACAGTAGTTCTCGAGGACTTGAGTTGGACACCCCGATCTACAGCAATTCTGAAGCTGCAGGGACGCTGAGAAAGGAAAAAAAAAAAAAAAACGTGGGTGTGGAAGTCCTGCAGTCAAACATTTAAAAGCCTTGTAAACACTAAAGAGGTTGAAGACTATATACACATAAAGTAGCTGAAGTCAAAGTTCTCACTTAGCAGAAACAGTCACATCAGAAGATCTCTGTATTACTCTGCCTGTTGCTGCTCACCTCATGGACAATATAACATTCAGGTGGGGGCAGCACGTCCACACCTTCAGGCTTCCAGAACAACCTGATAGTTTGTCTGCACACGCTCAACTTATCACACAGGGTTCACGCTCAGGTGTATTTGAGCAGCAGCCAATGACACCACACACCTGTTAAAGGTGTAGTCCACCTTAATTACAGTGGAATCATCTGATTTACGTGGCTCTCAATTTATTTTCTTTCTACTTTGTTTTCTTTTGGATGTCTGATGCTTTTAAAAAGACATTTTATTTTGTATCTTTTCTTTCTCGCATTTTAGGAACCTTTACATGTTTATAATCTGTTTTCTCCTTCACTGATCTAAGAATTTGATTTTAGGAACAATCTTTTTCACTTTTTTTGTATCAATGAATCTGTTAATATATCACAGACCGTTATAACCCTGTGACTTTTTGTTGGATTAAGGAACTTTTTCCAACATTGATCCCATGTTTATGTTTCATTAAATAAGTTTCTTTCTGATAACACAGGATTTATGTTACATGGTAAACAACTGCTTACATATCACAAAAAGGGTGGGGCCATGCTGACTTAACCACACTACATTCATATTCTTCAGGTTTCCAGATGAAGACCACCTCCATATTCCTCCTGCTTCATTTCATGTTTTTAAAGACATCTGGACATTTTCACTGACTTTTTTTTATACAGGGTATATCAAAGAGATTTACAATGTTCACAAGTGCTAAATGTGTCCCCTCCAGACACACGGTGTATGTCAATATGACAGTCAAACTCAGCCCATATGGTGAGCAGGTCTGCAGGTTTTTTGGCAAATAAGAAATCACTTTTTAGCGCAACACCAGGAACCATGTGAAACTCCATTATATGTTCTTTCAAGCTGTATGTGTTTTAATGGTTACCGGTGAACAGTTGCAGAATTCAAGTACTTTGAAATCTGATGATTCTTTCTGATACACCCTGTATTTTTTCTTTATTTCAGAGGTCACATAACTTAAAAACTTTGAACACTGGAGAATTCATGAAATGTAATGATCAGCTGACCACACCAGGCTTCATATTTAACCTACTCAGGGCAGTTTGTGATATGATGTTTAATCCTCATAATGTCCTCTCGATTTCCATGTACCTGTGGTCCTCAGGGGACAAAAATGTCCCCATTTCATTTGAGTGTTTTTTAAAGTATAAAGTATAAATTGTCAATCAATTCAGTGTTACACTTTAGTTTTACTTAAGACCAACACATTAACACAAAATTTACCCTACATTTTACATTTTAGGGCCGCCCGACCTTGTTTACATGAAATATACTCTGTTTTTGAGCGAAAACAAAATGAGACAATAAAATATTTAAATGTTTATATTATTATAACTATCTGAATAACCACAGAGTGCTGTATGTTGATTTTTAGTGAGAATGTTTTTTTTAATCGTTTACAAATTTTAAATGGCAGCACATAATCACACCTGTGGTCCTCAGGGGTCAAAAATGACCCCATGTGGTTTGATTGATACTTAATTAATATAAAGTGGATTTTTCCCCCACTTTTAATTAAAACTTAATTCAAACATTTTGACACTATTTCTTTATTCCATTTCAAATTTATGTCTGATAAAACCTCATTTATACGAAATGTTTCAGGTGTTTTCAGGTAACAAAATAAATAAAATCATCAGTTATTGTGATTATCGTTTCACAACCAGAGTTTGTTGCTTTAACAGATTATCACAGACGGGTTTATGTCGAAGTTAATTTGGGAAGCTGTTTTTAAACTACTTAAAGTTTTTTACTGGCAGCAAATAATCACATCTGTTGTCCTTTGGGCTCAAAAATGACCTCAACTGGTTTGACTATTTATAAAGCATCCATCCATCTTCATCCGCTTTATCCGAGGCTGGGTCGCAGGGGCAGCAGCCTAAGCAGAGAGACCCAGACCTCCCTCTCCCCAGCCACCTCCTCCAGCTTATCCGGGG